GTTTTTGAGGAGGCTGATCGGTGGTGGTGAGTAATCTAAGAAACTTTCCTCAAAAAAAAACCTTACAAAGATTGAAAAATAACAATAACTGTTATATGTGATATATGGCAATGCGTTTTATTGGCTTCGAATGGATAGTGTCATCATCTCATGTAACATATAACGGTTCCTATATTCCTGGTAAAAATGGCGCTAATAAAATGTGTGGTCTCTCCCAAAAGCGGGATAGGGAGCTAATAAAACGTAATAAGGAGGTGGCAAAAGATCAAGGATATAGAATTATAACACCATCTCGGTAAAGGAGGGTGGTAGCAACATTAAGTGTTTATAAGGATTAAATACAGTGCGATATGGTTATATGTAATTTCGTTTATTTCAAACTGCTGCAATATATTTGTTATGTCCTAAACAAAATGTGTCTCATAGCAATAACGGGTTTATATCTCATGTCTCTTGGCATAAAATCCGTTTCAGTCGATCTAAACATGTACGACATTTATCGAAGGGAGTGTCCGACAGGATCCAAAGCTGGTGTATCCAAATATTTGTACCAAATTTTTTTGATGCATAGTATGCAAAACACATAGTTCTAATAGAATGACAGCCTTTAATGTTATAATATTGGTCAACTCCGTCTGTTACCTTATCCACAAAATGCCAACAATTTTAATTACTAAAGTACAAATCCAATTTGGGATCTGGGAAATTCGAAGTTGAGTCAAATCTACAAAAAGGGTTTTCGTTCTGAGGCCAAACAATATTTTAGGCTCATTTATATAACATTGATTGTATACATAGGGTCTTCAACATTTTGCATTAATTCCTAGGCCAAACTTTCGTTTTAGCGACCTTTACATAACCTCAACCATACACAAGTGGACCCAATATTTTGCATTATGTTTCGGAAGTTTTAAAGTGGAACTCAGATATTTGATGTTTTTTTCACAAAAGAATTAACCACGATACATTCGATAGAAAATGTTGTCAATATTTTATCAATATTTTTCAAAATTTTCTGAGAAGTGGAACCTAATGCCAAATTGGAGCCTAATCAAAGTTGAGAATAGCTACAACTATGAAACCTTTTGACTGGGAACCCAAATTTTGGAATATTTGTTTGAGAATTTAGATAAACCGACAAACTCAACCGATATGACGATTTGTTAAATGTTCATTATGAATCCACAATGGCCCACATTTTAAGTGTCCTATGCGTGATAAAATAGTTACAATGTAGGATAAGTTGATTAAAATCTAATAAAGGAAATGAGTTAGATCCATAGTTCCTTTTGATGATCTGCATCCGTCAGTTCGTCCGTCTGTCCATGTATTTTTGTAAACAAAGTACAGTTCGCATTTATTGCCCTATACAGATAAAATTTTGCACAAACCATTTGTTTGGCCCAAGGACGAACCCTCTTGAAATTGGAGATAATCGTTAAAAATTTAGATATAGCTCCCATATATATCTTCGTCCGATTTGCCTTTTATTGTGCACCAAACGTGTACTATCAGCCCGAGTAGTATGGAATTTTGCACATACAACCAAATTAGGCCTCAAAATAAGTATGCCAAATTTGATCGAAATCGGTTCAGATATACCTATAGCTCCCATATATATTGTTCATCCGATTTGTTATTTTTGTCCTCCGCAGCCGTAATTGCACTCTGTAACAACAATATTTGGCGAAATATATCAAATAGAGCTCAGTATAATACATTTGCTAAATTTTAACGAGATCGGTTCAGATTTGGATATATAACTTCCAATATATAACTTCGTCCGATTTACCTTTTATTGTGCACCAAACGTCTAATATTTGTCCAAATGGGATGGAATTTGGCACTTACGACCGAATTGTTCATCCGATTTGTTATATTTATTACCCACAGCCGTAATATGCACTCCGTAATAACGATATTCAGGGAAATACGTCAAATACAGCTCAGAAATATCTTTGCCAAATTTTATCGAGGTCGGTTCAGATTTGGATATAGCTCCCATATATATCTTTATCCGATTTCAAATTAATTGTGCACCAAATGGGCAATACAAGTCCGAATTAAAAAAACACAAATGCTTCGGCATATTTAACCTTTGAACTTTAAATTATAATTATAATCATAGCGTGTATGATTGAATTCTCCCATAAAAGCTTTTAATTGTTATGCGGAGCTCTACTTAATTAGCAAAGTGGTGTAGGGTATCATAAAGTCGGCCCCGCCCGACTTTAAGACTTTCTTTATTGGTTTTTAATTTAAGATAAACAAGTTAAAAATCAGTAAGTTCGGCCGGGCAGAACTTTGAATACCCTCTACCATTTGGAACGAATTTGGAAATTTTCAAAAAATAAAATCCTTAAAAAAATTCTGTTATAATTTTAAAAATACCAAATATAGCCGTTATATTGGGGTCTATACGACGTGGACCTACATAGGCTTTGTTTGTCATAAGCCATTACCATATTCAAATTCGAAACTTTAAATAAACGGTGAATAATGTAGCTAAAATAATCAAAACATCGTATATAGGGAGCTGTGCGAAGACCTGGACCAGCATGCAAAATTTGCAATGAGCATCGCATGATAATTGCGACCTGCATATAATGCCCTCAACACATAGTGTTGCAGGGTGTAGAAAAACTTTACAAAATGTTCAATTCAAAATTGTAAGCCAAATTGAAAAAATCGCATGCGATAAAAAATATGACGAAAATTAAAAAGAAAAAAAAAATTAACAAAAATATTCAAATATTTTATTGGCATATTTTTCCGCGATTTTCTTAGATTTTATAATTTTCTGGCTAGAAACCATTCCGAATTGATGAGAATTGTGAAAATCGGCCCAGAGGATATAGCAGAATAAATAAGATCTCGTCGATTGGTTTATAATTGTGGCCTGTAGAGTAAAAGCAAAATCCGGAAATTTTCTGTTTTTTGATCCATTTAAACCCCTAAATATTTTGCGATCATCTCCAAACAAAAAAAAAAAAAAAAAAAACAATTCTGACTTAACCCCACCTCTATGCAAAATTTCGTGAAGATTTGGCCATAATTGCGACCTGTGGCGTGATTACAAATTAACATGGACAGACGGACGGGCGGACGTACATAGCTTAATCGACACTTCCAATTTTTGGCCACTTTTTCGAGCACTGCTTCGGCCTCATTTTTGAAGAAATAATGCCGATAATGCCACCAGCGTGAAAACCGCACCATATGGGGCATTTTTCTGGATGTAATGGAGTCTGTAGGGTCTCTTGTGGATTGGCCTCACTCCATATGCGGCAATTTTGCTTATTAAAAAACTCGTTAAGCCAAAAATGCGCATCATCGCTGAACACAATTTTGCGATAAAACAACGGGTCATTTGCCAACTGCTATAGAGCTCAATCGGCGAAAAACGACGCATATATAGTGGTCTCTCATGATGATTTGTCAGAGTATACTGAAACAAATAATAAAAATCATCAAAATTTAATTTTTTGGTTTAATTTTTACAATTTAAAGTTCTATCTTGCTTAAAAACACCCTTTAATACCCCCAACACATGATGTTGTAGGGTATAATTATGGGGTCTCTATTGCCATAAAATACCTCAAGTTTTCATTCGAGTGTTTCCAGAAGAACTGTGGAGTTTGTCCACTGTTACATTTATTTTGATAGGTTTTAGGACAGTTTTATTCGCTGCCTAAAAATTAAACGTTACGCTACGGACATATGTTTCATATACAAGAGACGCTTGATTTCTTAACGGAATTGGGAGTAAGTTCACAATGTTGTTTTTCGAAAAACAAAAACCCGTCTATGACATCTACAATCATTAATATATTGCTCTCTTTACCACTTGACATTACTCATCCCAGAAAAATACTCGATTGCAAAAATTCTATTCAGTTTGTTGTGATCAGCACCTGTCCACATGCTATGGATGGATGGATGAGTAATTCCAAAAATATTCAAGTCACCCGCAACACATAACAGAATCCAAAAATAAGTAATTAAACGAATGGAATTTGTTTTGGTTTTTTTATATGATAGTTATGTATGGGGTGTTTGGTTTTTAATATTATTGTTATTATTATTATTAGTTTAAACTATTTCTATTACATTGTATGTTTTTTTGATTTCGAATAGACAGAGATTAATTGATTACCGGACATGCATGTTTTTTTTAAAGGGGTTTGTGTTGTTGGGGAAGAAAAAAATTAAAAAGAATGGTTGTTTTAGTTCGTATGATTTCTTTATTTTTATTTAATTGGTAAAAATAAGAAATACAAAATTATTAATAAATAAATAAAAAACAGAAACTTATTTGTTTAAGTCAGGTTATAAAAAATAAAATCGTTAATGGGGGAGATGCACATTGAAAAAAAAAATATATAAAATAAAAAAGCTACGACATAAATAACTAAAGGCAAATGCAATAAATAAAAGAGAACTTAATAAATAGCTTATATGCAATTAAATTAACATCGATCGATTAACATTAATCAGCTCATATTACAATTTACAGAATATAAATTAAAATATCTAATAATACCAATAAATTAAGTAAATTTATTTTTTTGAATATCAAGAGGGTAATAAATTATTGTTGAGTAAACATAAAAATATATGTATGTATAACGATGACAATGAAAAAAAAAAAAAAAAAAAAATAAGCGAAAATTTGAAAAATGAACGTGATGATTTGAGCAGAGCTCAAATGTTTAAACAGCATATTTTGTTAAGTATTTAAAAAATTTGAAAAATTTTCGGAACATCATTTTTCGGATCTCCTATATTTGAGAATTAATTGTGAAGAGTTGCTGCTGCTTTTTCTACTCTCTTTCAAAATTTTGTTATCAATGTGGTGGACATGAGTTTTTTTCCAATGCATTATCAATGTGGTGGGCATGATTTTTTCTTCTATGATATTTGGATACAATTGCATAAAATCAAGTCTCATATACTTAGGTGTGGTACTAATAAGTAAAAATCCTTACAATTTAAGGACATAAGATGTGGTCATAACAATACAAATAAATAAAAAACCGAAAAACGTGTGAGAGAATTGTTTTGTTTCAAATGAATTTGAGAGCCCCTCGCCAGTAAAGGAACTTAAAATCAGTTCTTGTCATTTTTTTTTCCAATTAAAATCTTCCAAAATTCTGGAGTATACTTTAATGATTTTAAATTCCGACTTAGCGACATCTATATTTCATAAATTTACTATGTGGCTCATAACTATGTCCTGCAAGTGGCATGTATATATTCCAATTGGATGAATTCCTATTGGAATTTAAAAATTTTGTCATACATTTAAGAAAATAATTTGTTTTGAAACAAATAAAAAATTTAAAATCATTGGCAAAACCATTTTAAGTCCTTTTTTTGTGAAAACCAAAAACAATGTAACAAAAAAAAAAAATTAAGTACAATCATTTTAAGTGTGTGTGTGAGTGTGTTTTTCTGGCTACGGTCATCAGATAATTTAGATTGAACATCAAATATACTTAAGACTAATGGGTGTGTATGTGTGTGAGTGTGTAGTTTTGTTTTTGTAACTATTTAATTTATGTTTATGTATGTATGTATTTATCCTTCTACAGGCATGGCATTTTCACCACATAAATATGTGTGTTTGTGTGTTTTTTTTTCTCTTGGACAAATATATAAATGTTCAACATTTCTACTTTGGCCACCGTTTTTACTCATCATCGCCACTGCTAAAACCGTTGCTATCTTTGTTACAGAATTGTTCCAGGAAATCTTTAACTCTTTCCACATCCTCAATGAATTCCTTGATAATGAGAAAGTCACGTAATCTCCGCGCATGCGTGGTATTGAATTCGACAACATTATCCTCCAAGTTGGGCTTGTCAATGGCCAAAGCTTTCAAAACACCTTCCGTCTCCTGCATATTACGTGTGATTTCGGTTTTCAGATGTTGGAAAGCCTCCAATATAACACCCACGCGAATCCCTTCGCCATGTTCAATGCTGACCTTGCTATCGTTGGTGTCCCGATCAACCAACTCGGCCAGTTGTTGGAAATTGTGTAGATTCAAATAGAAGTCATGCATTTTCTGATGGAGCTGCAATGAGAAAATGGCAGGGGAAGATGGGGGTTAATAAATTGTTTTTTTTTGCCATTTCTTATATTTTTATTGTTTGTATAAAAATTCAAAAAAATGTATTACACTTTTTGAAATTAGTCGCAATTTCAAAATTGACAAATGTAAGGGAAATTTTAGAAATGTTGAGGACAAACATATTTTTTTAATTCCATTCCAAATGGTCCTAGTAAGTTTCGCTTCACCGAATTTTTCACACGCCACGTTCAACGTTTGGGTTTTTCTTTTAATTTTTTGAATGAGTGTGTTTCTCATTCACTTGGGAATGCTCAAATGCAATCAATGCAACAAGTTGTTTTATTTATTTAATAATAACACAACTTGTTGCATTTGCTTTAATAGTAACTCTGGCATTACAATTCATACAGGTAGACCCCTTTACAAGCAAAATTTTCTAACTTAGGCCAACTTCTCTTCATTGTACCCTGGGTGATAATGAATGAAGTTAAGCCAATGGGGGTATACACCAGACTTAGGCAATTTTTTTTTTTTTTTTTTTTTTTTTTTTTTTTTTTAATTTTATCTTCAGTTTTCTGTTTTCATTTTCTCAAAACCGATCAAGAAATGTACCCTGGGTGATATGAATTTAAGCCAATGGAAGCATACATCAGACAATATTTTTTTTGTTTTTTGTTTTTTTTTTTTTAATTGTATCTTCAGTTTTCTCTTTTTATTTTCTCAAAACCGATTTAGAATTCAAAATTTGGCAATAATTTGAAGATTTCATATCCCGAGTAATTAATGTTTTTTTTTTTTTCTAAGTTTATACCTAAGAATTTTCTGAGTAAGTTTTTTTTAATGCTCACCTCATTGTCAAGCGTCACTTGCTGGCGTCTGGGGTTTCGAATTTCCAAATTGAGTAATCTCCATGTATCGTTCATTTCATCCAATGTTTTGTTTTCACGCGTTTGCAACTAAAAAATAAAACAAAGATATAAAACAAATTAATTTTTATTTGAAAAAATAGCAAAAAAAAAAAAAAAATAAATAACTTCAAATAAATCTATTGAAGACGAAAAAGGCTAAGCTCCGCCATTAAGAAGGAACTTGAAAAATGTAAAAAAAGTTGAAAAGCAGGCCTGGCCGAACTTTTAATACCATCTACCATTTTGAATGAACTTGAACAATTTCCAGAAAAAATCGGTCAACATAAACCTCTCAAATGAAATCCCTTATATGCGGGCTATACGAATATGAGGCTGTAGTGCCGATTCCGAACTTCAACTGCGAAATTTGAAACAATTCCGGCGAGTAATGGCCCTAAAATCATCAAAATACCGAATATCGAGGGTTATGCGAAGACGTGGATGGAGCTATACGAAGACCTGGACCTGCAGAGGAAATTCTCTGCCACAGGCTTCAGTACCCATTAGAAACTCTAAATAACAAACAAATAACAAAATTCAGGTAAGTAATATACCTAAAATCAATACCGAATACGGAGAGATACCGTTACATGGAGGCTATACGAAGACGTAGACCTTCTGAGGCAATTTTTTGCTTCAAGACGCAGTACCCATTAATAACTTCAAATAACAAATTTAAAAGAATTTCAGTGAATACTTTCGTTAAAGTCATCAAAATACCGAATATGGGGAGGTACGGTTATTGGGGGGCTATACGAAGACCGGGACCTGCAGAGAGAATTTTCTGCCAAAGGTCGCATTTTCAATTAGGAATTTTAAATTCCAAATTTTGAAAATGTCCGGGGAAAAGTTTGACGCAATTCATTAAAATACCGAATATCTGGAGGTACCATTATATGGGGACTGAAGGAAAACTCAGATCTATACTGATATTTCTAGGCAAGGGTGTTTCTAACATAATGGGAACATGTACTGCCAATTTGTAGAAAATCCGAGTTAAAATTTTGACTAAAACATCCACACAAAAAAAAAAAAAAACTTAAATCTGTCGGCACAGTTATATTGGGGGATGGGGGTTGGTTTGGGTTATAACAAAATGTATAGCCAATTTTCAATTAGTCCTGTAGACCTAACATACATTGGAGTTAATTAATCTACATCAGTTTGTTCGGAAGTTAGAGTGATTTTCACAGACGGACGAACATCGCTGAATCGACGTAGGCCAGAATATATTTATACTCTCTGGGCTCTCTATATTTCGAGGTGTTACAAACGGAATGACACAACTTAATACAGCCTTCATCCTTTGTTTAATAATACACATGAAATAAATATTTAAATTAATTAATTTTATACATTAACTTACATATTTGGAACACACGGCCTTTATGAACTGCAACGTTGCATCCATTTGCAAATACAAAATGTTGAAGGTGTCATCATTTCTACAATTACTCATTTTGTATTGGGCCGATCGGCTGGCAATGGGGGCAGCACGTTGATGCAAGTGATGATGTTGCAACTGATGACGATGGACTTTTCTCAGTATGGGCGCTAAATACGATGAGGGTCTTTGGACTTGTTGGAAATGTTGTGACGAATAACGATGTTGGGTTTTGTGATGCGGTTGCTGTTGCTGCTGCTGTTGCTGGTGATGATACTGATGGAATTTCTGTAATACTTGTTGCTGATGCTGTTGATGTTGCCGCTGTTCGTGTAGCAAATTTTGATGATAACGCTCACGATAGACGTTCGAGTGTAAAATTAGCCGCTGACCAGATGTGGTTGTACGACGAACGGGTATGGCTTGTGTGGTTGGTAGGTATAGCGATGATATGGCACAATAAATAAATAATAGGATAAGTAGTAATTCTGCAAAGAGAGAGGGACAGGAAAAGAAAGGGTAAGTTTAAGATTTAATACGAAATTTTTGAAAAAATATCTATTTTTTTATGAGTAAATTAAATATTTTGAATATGTGTTTCATATATTTTTTTGTTTTAAAATAAAAAAATATAAATGTTTTATTTCTTAACTACCTAATATATCACTGTGCCAAAACGTAAGCCGCAATTACAAAACAAACAAAATCTTGCAATGCTTATTGCACTACGTGCCGGAATGTGCACTACACTTTTGGTGGCACTGATTTTGATGGGAGCTCGACCTATCCCACTGTATTCCAGAGTTGTGTGTGGTCAGAACACACACAGGTTTTAATGCCAACAAATGAGAATGTGATTTTGTTTTTTGTTCATTCATACTTTTATGTTCACCAAACTCTCTTCTCTGTTAATGAGAGCGCTAACATGTTCGAAACAATGCGGTAATTAGTCTGAAAACGTTCAATGCACATGTCGTATTTAAAGAATGTTTTAATTTGAGTCAACCGAGCCGAGATGAGATTTTCAGATCGTACGGTCGTTCATTCATTTATTTTATTTTTTCCAATACTTGTCATGTGGCTATGAGTTTGTTGTTGCTACTCACTCTTTTCGTAGCGAGATATAAATGTTTATTTTTTTTTCTTATATAAATGTATACCGGCCTGCCGGCTTTCATATATAATTAGTTATTTAGTATAGATAAATGGCGTTACTAACTGTGGTTAGTGATCTTGAAAATGTCTTGAGTTGAAGACAGCAGTCTATGATGGATTTCTATAAAAATAGTCGTGATTATTCATTGAGATTAATATTGAGAAAAAGCTAATTAAATTTTGGACTCAATGAACAGCAGATAAACGACTATTGGGTTTATTTTTAAACGGCATTTATTGAGTCATGTCACTTGTCACATCAAAGATAGGCAAATTTTGTAATAAAACCAGTAAGGAAAAGTCAAAAGTCGGACTATATGATACCCTACATCACTATTCATATTTAGTAGAGATCCCGTAACAAAAGAATTTATTTGAAGTTGATCATACCATCTATCAACATTTGGCTTTAGATCAGTTATAATTTGGCCTCAGAGGGAACTAATATATGGGAGGCATTCCAATTCTGAATAAATTTTCACTAAATTTGAGGGAGATTTTTTCAACTTTTATTCCAAATAACATTGCTATGGAATGCATGATATCACTTCGAGAAGGATTATATTAAAAAAATATATATATCACAGCCGAATCCCACCAAATGAAAACTTATGTCCCGAAATCCTCTCCATTTGGGCTGATATAAGCCATTATTTGTACAATAAACCTGAAATCGGATAAAGGATAAATTTTGGAGTTATATCCAAATCTTAGCCTATCTCGATAACATTTGGTAAAGGTTATTCCGAGCTCTATAAGATATCTTTCACCAAATATCATTGTTCTGGAGCGCATATTACGAATGTCAGGGACTTAAACACCAAAACGGATGAAACATATATATGGGAGCTATAGCTATATCTAAACCGATTTTCACCAAATATGATGTACTTGCTTCTAGACTGAATTTGGTTGGATGTGCCGAAATTCAGGTCATTTGGACTGATATTGGTCATTTAGCTCACAATTAAGCCGAAATCCGTTGAAGTTATATAGGAGAGCTATATCTAAATTTGAACCGATTCTCACCAATTTGAATAAGGTTTGTTCTTAGGCCAAACAAATATTGTTTGGAAAATTTCATCTCAATTGGATAATTCACAAGAAAACATGGTCATACGGACAGACATGCATAGATCGACTCAGAAAGTAAGTATATAAAGATTCTCAAAAGTAATTATGGGCCTATCTCGCTTCCGGGGGACTTTTTTCTCAAAATTTCTTTGTTATGAGATAAGATTTTCTGTCATTGCGAACTCCAAGTACCAAATTTGAATTCCGTTTAAAACTGTGACACAAATCCTCAAATTGCCGAATATCCGCAATAATCGCAAGAGAAATTTTTTATATATACATTAGGGGTCTAAAATTTATATTCCGATATTTGTTTTTTTTTTTTATTTTCCAATATTTAATTATTACATTTTCACATCCATATTTCCATTATTTACGATAATGAGAACTGATTTCTTTCCATTCATCCAATTATCTTTGACAAATGCCCACACACACACGCATGAGTTGTAATAAGCTCTAACGAGCTATACCTACACACATACTCAAACAATTAAGAGAAAATAGGCAAAAATATCCAACGTATTGTCCTTTATTAAGATGTGTGGAAAAAGTGCATGGAAACACCCATATCGAAGGAAAATTGTGTAAAACATAAATATAGCTACACACACACACACGCATTTTATTAGACCAACATGTAACCAACATACCAAACCTACCGCAGTATACAATTGTATTGATTGTCTTATTTTTCTTCTCAATCGCTAAGAAATCTATAGAAGACCACATTGGCAAAAAAAAAACGAGAATATTTTATAAAAATCAATGAGATTGTGTCTGCATTGATAAAATACCTAAACCGGCAAAAGACATTAGATATTTTGTTTAATTATAACAGCCGAGAGAAGAAGACGATGAAGAAGAAAAAAAACTGTGAAATCTATTGGAAATAAATATTGATGACGAATAATTGCCAGTTGTCGTTCGACATGTAATTATTAACAAGTTAATCTGTTAGAAATGCAAGTGCGTGTGTGGCCTTGTAATGCCATTCATAGTTTAGCCGAAGATGTTGTCGCCAATGGCAGAAGAGAAAGGTTTGATTTAAAAATGTGGAAGAAAAAAAAAAGAGAAATGGAGCAACTCTTGTAGACATAGCTTAGAAGAGATCAATATTTGTAAAAGAAGCGAATATTTAGGAAATTTCCAGATATTTTCTATGACATTGGAGGTTAAAAATACTTTGTAGATGGACAAAAATTACAATGTTTTGAGGAAAAATGCGAATCTTTTTAGTTTATTAATAACCGGTCAAAAATTGTGCGTTATGAGTTCTTAAATAAGTATGCTTTTGAGAGTATTAACCTACTGAATTCCTGATAAAAACTCATCTCGAAAGAGAGGTTTTTTTTCTTTCAATAAGTTATGACCTGTTGGGAGCTACGAGATCTTAAATAAATATATACTAGAAATTTCCCATTGTTACGACATAAGATCCTTTATCCCTATTTTCGAAATTTTTGTGCATACATATGCACTTCGTGTCAAAGGTTGGCCCAAGTAGTCTACAACCCCAGAGAATTACCTGGTGCAGCACCTGGATTAATAGATGAATTCCATTACTTGGCTAGATCGAAAAAATGGCTGATGTATTCGTGCAGATATTTATGGTCCAAAATCCTAAATTTGAAGACGTTCTTTCTTAAATTTAAAAACGTCCTTCCTATTGGGTTTATTTACAATTTTAAATGTTTTTGGAATATTTGAATGTTGTACAAAATCGTATACGATCATTAATTTTTGAATTGTATACCCTCCACCATAGTATGGAGGATATATAACTTTGTCATTCCATTTGTAACGCCTCGAAATACTAATGTCAGATCCTAATCTAAGTCGACTTAGATGGTATAGGCTTAAATGAGGGAGGTTCGCCCGGTATGTCCATCATCAAAATCGAGCTATATTTGATGGAAATTTTATGAAGCAAAATTTAGACTAAATCGGATACTTCTTTCGAAAGTTATTGGGCATTGGATGAAATATTTGGCCCAGACACTCCACATTTACAAAACCCATATGTGAAAAGAAAACTCTGCCCGATTTGAAAATGATTCTAGGTCTTTCAAGTTATATATTGAAAAGAAACTATCGGTATCTGAGAGGAGGCTATAAGAAATAGTGGATTTTCAGGGAGTAGGTTTTTTGAGACCATAATTTTTTTCGTGTCTGGAAATGTCGAAAATAGGACCAAAAAATCATAACCCAATTGTTAAAAAATGTCATAAAGACTTTGAAAAAATTTCAAAGTCCATCCAAAATATAGGTTTGGTCAAAGTAAAAAAAAAATCAGGAAAAACGCTTAAAACTTGCAGTTAATATTCTTCATAAATCCTACGATACTTTGTCTGGAAATCGATGAAAATTGGGAGCACATAGCTGCTCGATCCTTGGGGAGCAATTTGAACCATCAATTTAGATTGTAGTTTCCCAAGATATCATAACTATAGGTTTTGTTACAGGAGACCTCATTCACTCAATGACATTTCGGTCCATTGTGATCATCGTGCGTGAAAAGGGAAGAAAGAGGAATAAAACTTGACAGAGATTCAAGGTAATAGATGCTGAAAGAGCAGTTAAATAATGGAGAAATGCGTCGAATAGTCATGTTTTATCTCCTACGCCAAAGCCAGTGTAGCATTTTTATATACACAATCCATGGAAATTCTAAATGTGATACATAAGGAAAACTCGATGTTTAATCCTAAAAAAAATTGCTTCGAAATCCACACGAGACTCCCAGTCGGTACAAAATGAGCGTATGTTTATTACAACTACTCATACGACCCCGTACTACTCATACGATTTAAAATCCTCTTAACATCCCCCGTAATAATAGCCGTCTGCTAAAGTCTGCCCAACACCTTTGACCCTTGAGTTAGGGTGCACATTATTTACTCTGATTATCTATCAGGGACAACTGATAAAACCTTCAACATAACTCCCATACAAATCGAAAACATTTGAGCCCACACAATACATTGACATTAAGATACTCACAATTATTAGGAGATTAATTAGTAGCGAAATGAGAAACAACTGTGGGAAGAAAATAATTTCAAAGATAAAAACAAAATCAAAGATAAAGTCAACATATTCTTAGTTTATGGTACCATACAAGCGCATGTGGGGTAAGCAAGGGCATCACCTAATTTGTAGCCAATTGAATCTTAAATTTGAAAACAAGAATTTTCATTTTTATTTTTTTCCAATTCCATTTAAAAGACAACTTTTTGAGAGATTAATGAGGACTTCTACTAATTTTTATGCATTTGTTTTCTTATTTTTTTTTTAATTTTTTAAAAATCGTATTTTACAGATGATAAGTGCAGTTATCGCGCCAACTTATAAAATTTGACACCTAAATTTGAAAATGAAGTCCTACCAACTCAGCATCAAACTACCGCCCTTCTTTCACGCCCCTGATGTCTTCAGCCTAAATGTGGTATTTTTGTAAACATCTAACATCTGGTATTTTTTTAAAACTATCTCCCCCCCCCCTTCCACGCCCCTGATGTCCTCAGCCTAAATGTGGTAAACATCTAACACATTTTTTTGTACTCGCTGTTTGACCAATGATAAGACCATTATCTAATTTGTACGAACATTTGTTGCCATATAGGATTTTGGGTGAAGAACCTATCCCAAGGTACGTCAATCTTTTATATACAAGACAAAAATCATGCCTTCTAACTAACAATAACAATAATAATAATAAATAAACATATAACTTGTGATTAATTTGTGTTGACAATGGTTGAGGGGGGAATAAATTAAAATATGTGCATGTCTACCATATATCCATCAGTCACTCAGTCAGTTAGACTGTGTGAAGAGAAGAAAACAAGAAAAACATACGTCAGAGAGAATTTGTACGACACATACCAAACATTTGCATTTGTAGATAATTTTGAATTCTTGATTTATGAATCAAAGTAGGGAAAATAGAAGAAAGAAACTATTTTTCATTATTATTGTATTAAAATAAAAAATACACGAATAGATGGCCAGCAAATATTCCACAATACATGCTGACATGTCTTTTGCCTTACCTCCCCAGCCTTTCCATTACAATCGAAAACATGGCTATTTTCATTTATCCTACAATTTGTTCTATCTTTGCCATCATTTGTGCACTAATTAGCAGATAAATAAACCCACACACACAGGCTATTACGCTTGAATGCATTTGGTGACCTGTTTTAATAGTGTTCCATAGAACATACATACATTTATACATATAATCCTTCATATGTGTATCTTTGTGTGTGTGTGTGTAATGAATCCAACAAGAAGGTGACATTTATAAGATGTTCTCGTGTCAATAATAATTGTCCATTTTTTATGTCCTTTAATTACTACCAGTATTGGCGATCTAACTCTTTTTGCCCCGTTGTGTGGGCGAGCAAAATGCCATTAGGGATGGAAATGGAATATTCCATTGAGTAAAACTGATGAAAACAAAAATAATAAATATCATTAGTTTTTCTTTTTTTTCTTCTTTTTCTCAATACTCTTTTGACCTATTTACATTGGAGTATGTTTGATAATGCCTATTTCTATAAATTACTCGAAAAAAGTCATAATGTTGAGATAAAGATGTTTGGTAATTCAATGTATTGGGGAGTGCTAGGGAGTTGGAGCAGAATTCGATTTTTTATTATTTTTTGATGATGGCGACTTCTTTTTTTGTAAATGTAGAAATTGCAAAAAATAATTAAAAAACAACCTTTTTTACGTTTTATAGAGACTTCTTGAATTATTTTACAAGAGATACAATGAAGTATAGATGAAAAAAAATTGGTGATTCCAAGACTTCTAAATCAATGGGAAATTCGGAGTAAGAGATGAGGTAGGTTTTTCGTGTAGTTTTTAAGATGATCGTTTCATTACGGGAGAGATGAAAATTTGCTAAGGAAAAACATTTTTTAGAACATTTTTTTTTTTGAAAAATTTAGAAAAAAAAAACGGAATTCACTTTATTTACTTTGAATATCTCCTGACTAACACTAAGCAATTTTTCGGCAACACTTCTTAAAACTGCTCATAAAATAATCTTCAAACATTAAATTATTTGGATAGCTCTATCAATTTTTAATAAAGATATCATTTTTTTTGAATTTTATCATAATTTTTTCGGTATTTTTTCGGCCATTTTTTCGAAATTAGAAAAAACAGGGAAAATCAACATGACGCTCTCTTTCAGAGTCCCCCAAGACACTACGGCACCCCAACACTGGCTTTTAAGCTGTCTTTTTGGACTTTCAATACCGTCCACAATTTGGTAAGAAAACGTTGTTTAATAAAGATTGCATTTTTTCCTGAATTTTATGTGAAATTTCTTTTGATTTTTTCGGTATTTTCTCACTCTTTCAATTTTCCAACAGCTCCGATTTTTCAGAATATTTCGAAAAGCCTGAAAAGTTAATTTCTCAATAGATCGGAACAAGAAACTTTTTCGTGGTTCAAATTTTAGCTCTGAAATTTTTCGAGAATTTTTGCAGCGCATTTTTTTTAAATTTTAAAAAATGAACATGACATTATCTTTTAGAGTCACCCAAGACACCCCAACATTTACTTTTGATCAGTTTTTTTTATTTATAATTATTATTATAAGTTTTTTTTTTTTTTTTTGAAAAAAAAAAACAATAAAAAAATTATTAGTTCTCATTTACCATTTCCTAAAAAAAATTAAATTAAAGAATCAGTATTCAAACTTGTTCCACAACTACCGGTAAAATCGGTTGGAGAACACAGTAAAAATTCACTAATTACAATAAAGTAAGTGAAACTATTATATGGGGGCTATTCCAATCAGTGGACCTGAATCAGACATTTTTCGCAAGGAGAGAACAGACCTTTCAATATCCCTAAATGCCAAGTTTCAGCTAATTTGGTTGGAAATTGTGTCTGCAATCGTCAAAATACCGAAAATCGGGAGGTATCGTTATATTTTGGCTATAATAATTTGTGGGCCTGAATCTGACATTTTTCACAAGGAGAGAACAGATATTTCAAGAACCTCAAATTTTAAGTTTCAGCTGAATTGATTCGAAATTGAGGCATATAACTTCAGAATACCGAAAATTTGGGACGTACCGTTATGTATGGGTCTATACCAATTGGTGGACCTGAATAAAAACTATTTCCCAAGGAGAGAACAGCCCTTTAAAGAACCTCAAATGACAGTTTCAGCTGAATTCGTTGGAAATCGTGGCAGAATCCTTCGCGAAAATCCGAAGGATATACGTAAACGTGGATCAATATAGCCCATTTCACATAGAAATATTACTGAAATTGTCCTCTTTCCGGCAATTATAAATCCCAAACTATCTTTATTTAAAATTTAATGAGTTTACTCGGAAAATAATGTTTTTTTTATTAGCAGCATCCGCGCTAAACGTGAACGCCAAAAAAAAAAAAATGGAAATCGCCATAGCATAAATTACTAATTTGAAGAGTATAATTTTAATACCTCGGTATAGGCTTTTTTCTTGGTGGAATAAAAAAAATGCCTTCTTATAGATCAAAACTATTACTATTTTCCATAAATACTCTTGGAAAAATATCGATTAAATTATTTACTATTTGCGACAGGCCCTTCGCTTACAATGTATCTGTGCATTTTATTTTTACACACTCATAATGATGAGTCGCTTTTAACGCACCATAGTGTAATGTTAGCAAAAATAGAATTAATTAGACGCATTGAATGCCCTCATTGATTAAAACTATCGATATTGAAGATTCATTTCAATATCTTCGATGTTCATGAATCATTTGCATTATTTTGAGGTATAATTTTATTTTTTTCATTAAGACGGAAAAGATATCTATGGTTTTGAAAAAAGGAGGAGGAGAAAAACAAGCAAATTGTTGCCTGCTTTTTGTATTACCTGATTTTTTAGTTATTTTTCTAAAATGTAAATAGTGTTTCTGCTATACATTTTGCAAAGGACTATTTATTGCAGGAGCATTTATTGATAGTTTTTTTATGGAAAGCTCTCAGGACTCTCTCAGTAATAACAAAAATTGACAGGAAACCAAAGAGTGTATTACTTAAAAATTAAGAATTCAAATAGGATTTATTCGTTAAGAAACAATTCGTTATGATCCATAAAATAACTGAATTTTTTAGACATTGAAATCTACAATTTTTTCTTACAATTTTTTCTTTCTCCGGAAAACGGGAGAGTTCGAATTTGTTCCATAAGGACCAAAAATGATTGGTTTTTTTAATTGTTTTTTTTTTTGTTTGTTTGTTTTTTCGGAAAATTGGATACTTAGGACTTGTTCTGTAAGGATCAATTGCTTTACCGTAAGAACTTTCCACATTTTTTTCCAAAATTGGATTTTTGCTATGAAAACCTCTTAGAGAGTGGAACATCTTTGCACCATTGTTTCGAAGTCGACAAAAGTCGACCTTATCAGACAAGAAATAAGAAAATATGTGTAAATTCAGGAGGAAAACTGGAATTTGTTTCCAAAGTGAAAATTGGATACAAATAGCATAAATCCCTTAAGGTACCGGAAAATGGAGTTTGAACCATAAAAAACCCCATTTTTTTAGCAATGAAATCCATATTTTTTTTTTATTTTAATATCGTTTTATCTTTGAAATATTTTTCCCAAAACCATAAATATTTTTTGGATTTTCGTTTTTCCACACATGTATATATATTTTTTTACTTACTTGTTTTTTGGAATTTGTACAGATTTTCTAAACATGCACTAGGGCTATGCAATGACATGAAATGCTTTAAATGGCAGGATTCATATAAATTAACAAAAAATTTGGAATGTGATGTAGTGGTATTGAGATTTTCAATTGTATTCGCCGTTTGAGATTCTATTCTTAATACTGGCCGGGACGAGGTTGAGCTGGACGATGCTGATGCTGGCGATGAACTGGAGTGGTGATTGTGGTAATCTTGTGGTAATGACTGATCATTCAGCAGCCTATCACATTCCGGACATCCAGTCTGTGTAACATTTGGCCGTGTTTTATTTGACATTTTAAAATGAGATCTTTGTTGTTGTTGTTGTGTTGCCGGACAATCCTTGGGCGAATCGAGATAATTTCTTTTTCGCAAAAGCACTGTACGAGGATCAGCCTTAGGCTGTTTTAATGCAATCTCCGGCACATATATATCCATTTTGTTTTTTTTTTATAAATTAATAATACTTTTTCAACTATTTATTTGTTAGGTCCTTGTCTAATACTTTGTTGTTATTTTTGAAATAGTTTCAACTTAGTTTTATAATTATTTTTTAACACTTGGATTTTTCTGTCATGTTATAATTTCAAAGAGTCTTTTTTTGTAACTGTTAATTTATTTGAATTTCTCCTTTGTTTTGATTTTTTCGAATAATTTCACAATTTGCTGGCTGCTTGTTACAGAAATATTTTTTACAATACTGATTTTTTTGAGTGGCTAATTTAATACTTTATTTTTATTTTGTTGTTTTCTTTTACTTTTCTCAACGCTTTTGTTTTTATCCAATTTTGTTGCAAGTTTTCAGCTAGTATTCCTTCTTCTTGCTTTTCAGGATTTCAAGTGTTTATTGTTTGACAACCAATTTGGTATTAATACTAAAACGTTACTAACCCTGTCTTATAAAACTCTTTGATAATGAGAAATTTGTTGGCAAAAAAAACTACGTGCGGGTGTATGTGTGCGCACACGATACCGTATACACTTGTTGCTGTTGCATTGCTCACATGGTGACAGTGTTGCCGAGCAAGCTCACCGCCATGCGACAGTGTGAGTGAGTTGGACGGCAAGGCAAAACATCTTCACAGCCAATCGTTTAGTTGCTTTAACTCATTACCCTCAAATATGGCCCACACACACGCACGCTCATTTTCTCCAATGCCTCCCCAACGGCCTGCTGTCGGAAGCAAAAATCATAATAGAGAACCACGACAACAACAACACACACACATCAATGGACAAGTGTTTTTGGATTAAAAATTGATTTACTCACACTCATATTTATCGACATTTACTCTGAGATTGACTTGGCTTTGGGACTTATAACGGCAGCCACAACATGATATTGCCGATATTTATCGTGTACTTGACGATTGCTCTAACAGTTAACATGTTCGGCAGGCCGAACTACTGCGGAGAGTAATCAAAGAGCCGTTGTTGTTAAAAATAAAAGAAACGATATTATCTTCTCAACTAAAAACAAAAAAAGTGACTGTCTCTCTATCTTTCTCTCTCTCAAAAACACACACAGGTGATGACAATGTTGGAGCAAGATCAATCTTCAATTCTCAGCGGCCGGTATTTGGGGCCGGTAAAAACAAAAACAACAATAATATCAACATCTCATTGCTGTTGTTGTAGGAAACTCCGATTACGTTCATATGAACGGAAACTGAGGCGTTTCTGTGACGTCGTCATTCTCCACAACTGATAATTTTTATGAATGAATGAGTATTTGCATATGTATGTCATAAACAAGCATACGCCTGCCCTGACTGCCGGTACTGCCCTGCCTGACTGACTGACTGACTGTCAACATCTCAGTTATCTCATTAAGCCCATTTGACACATCATCTACTGTTTGTTTATAATTTATCTATTTTTAAAAGCGATACTAACAACATATTAGTGAACGCGCACATCTTCTTCGGATGATGCTTTTAAAAACAGAATATTTCATAGGAAACGGAATTTGGGAATTTTGGAATGTTTCCATAATCGATCGATTACAAAGCATTAATCACAGGCGTTTCAAATAAACCGGTCACGTATTGTGAGAAATCTTTTTTTTTTTTTGGTAGGACGAACAAAATAAACTTTTAAAGAACATCCTAAAAATAAAAACAAAATTTTACAGTGGAGTAGGATTTGGTCACTTTACCATCTCCGTCATTGAAAAGCTTAAGTTTGGCCTAATCGGTTGACATTACAATCCTTTAAATTTGGTATAACCTTTGTCGTAAAGGTATATCAGAAACTTATATAAATAGTAAATAGTTTTGGGATGTGGTAGTCATTTTTCAATTTTAAAAATGTCTGCTTTACGATTCAGGATTTTTCAAACTTTTTACCATTGGCGATGAGCAATTTATCGAATTTCGTTACAAATATGGGATTCCTCGAAGACAGGGAAATAAAGGACCCCTTTGTATGAGATTTCAATTTGTTTTTATTTTTTTATTAAGAGTTTTATATTAGCGAACTTCTCACAAAAATAACAAAAGTAAATTTTCGAAAGGCTTTTTTAAAGGACCTCCTGTCAAAATCGTAGATTTCATAAAAAATGATTTCCGGGTCAAAAATCCGAATTTCCTGATTTTTTGAGATTAATTGCTACTGGACTTGGGCGTGTCAAAAAAGATCTTTTAAGGGATTTCATTAATTTTTCATATAATTTTTTTAAAGACTAGGAACTAACCAAAAATCTTCGATATTTGGTCTATTTTTACATAATAAAATCGTGTTTTTTAATTCTTTCATTGTTTTTCCCATAACAATATCTTCTTGGACAAAATTTGAAATTTTAAAAAATACATATTTGCAAAAATTTTTTAAATTTTTTTCTGGAACCTCTTTTCCGGAATTCTTTGAAAGAACAAAAGTCGTGTATTTTGAATATTTTTTTAAAGGTAATGCCATGCCAAAAATTTTAGTTTCTACTTGGAAATTTTTTCCCATTTCAATCCATTCCATTTTACCCTACACCACATATGGGTAAGGGTATTATGTCCTTGTGCATTTGTTTGGAATGTGGAGAAGGAAACGAGATAGACCCATAGTTCCTTTTGATGATCTGCATAGAATCACATTCTGAGTCGATTTATGCATGGCAGTCCGTCCGTCTGTCCATGACTTCTTGTGAACAAAATGCAGGTCGCATTTATTATCCGATTTAGATTAAATTTTCCAAACAATATCTGTTTGGCCCAAGGACGAACCCTATAGAAATTTATGATAATTGGGTCAGGTTTAGATATAGCTCTCATATATCTTCAACCGATTTCGGGTTAATTGTGAACCAAAACGCCAATATCAGTTTTTTTGCACATCTGACCGAATTCAGTCTAGAAGCAAGTACTTAAATTTTGGTGAAAATCGGTTCAGATATAGCTATAGCTCCCATATAAAGGCTTCATCCGATTTGGTGTTCAAATCCCCCACATTCGTAATATGCGTTCGAAAACATTGATTTTTGGTACCAGATATCAGATATAGCCCTGAAATACCTCTACTGAATATAGTTCCCATATATATCTTCAGCCGATTTTGGGTTATCCAGTCCAAACGTTCTTAATTTTAGTAAATCCGACCGAATTCAGTCTAGAAGAAAGTACATCGAATGCAGAGAAAATCGGTTCAGATATAGCTATAGCTCCCATATATAGGTTCCATCCGATTTGGTGTTTAAATCCCCCACATTCGTAATATGAACCCCACAAGAATGATATTTGGTATAAATTATAAGATATATACCAGAAATGTATTAAGATCGGTTCAGATTTGGATATAGCTCCCATATATAGCTTTAACCGATTTCGGATTAATTGTGCATTAAACGGCCAATATCAGTCCAAATGACCTAAATTTTTACACATCCGACCGAATTCGGTCTAGAAGTACATCGAATTCGGAGAAAATCGGCTGAGATAAAGCCATAGCTCCCATTTATATGTTTCATCCGATTTGGTATTAAGTCCGTCAAATGTGTAATATGCACTCCACAAGAATAATATTTGCTACCAGATATCATATCAAGATCTATTAAAATTTGGCTATAACTCCCATATTTATCATCAATACGATTTCAGGTTTTTGTGAAAATAATGGCTAATATCAGCTTAAATGGAGTGAACTTCGGGACGTAGATTTTCGTTTTGTGGTTCTCGAAGTGATATCATGCACTCTTTAGCAATATTATTTGGTATAAACGATTAAAATATTTAGTGGAAATCGATTCAGAATTGCATATGCCTCCCATATATTTGATCCCTCTGAAACCAAACTACAACTGATCTAAAGCAAAATGTTGATAGGTGGTATGATCTACTTCAAATTAATTATTTTGTTACGGTAGCTCTACTACATATGGATATTGGTGTAGGATATCATATAGTCCTAACTGGTTTTTACTTGTTTCAAGAACCTCTTGCCCAAAATAAAAAAGCTAAAAAATCCTGACACAAAAATAGTGGTTTTCTTAAGAAAATAAAAACTTATACTTTCAAAGATTTCGTGGTAAAAAAATTTCAAGGAATTTCTTGTAAGGACATAAAATCAAGTGTTTTGATTTTTTAAGGATTCCATGACCAAGCTTTTTTTAATTTTTTTATTTCCAATTCTAATTGGTAGGTGGTATGATCTACTTCAAATAAAATCTTTTGTTACGGGAGTTCTACTAAAAATGCATATTGGTGTAGGGTATCATATAATCCTTACTGGTTTTTACTTGTTTCAGGAACCTCTTGCCCAAAATAAAAAAGTTAAAAAATCCTGACCCAAAAATAGCGGGTTTCTTAGAAAATACAAACTTATACTTTCAAAGATTTCGTGGTAAGAAATTTCCAGGAATTCCTTGTAAGGACATAAAATCGTGTGTTTTGATTTTTTTTAAGGATTCCATGTCCAAGCTTTTTTTAATTTTTTATTTCCAATTCCAATTTTTATTAGAAATCAACAATATTTGTTGATTTCCTGGCCAAAAATCGTATTTTTAAAAAAATGTCTTTCAAAAATCATGGATTTTAGAAATTTGGTTTTTCTCAGGGACCTCTTCTTAATTATTAACATTTTTAATAATTTTTATTACCTCATCAAATCAAAGCTATGGGTGATAAACCGTCCGCAAACAAACTGATGTTTTCTAGTCACGTAATTTTGGAAAAATTAGAATCGAATATGAAGTCCCAACAAAACAAAACATCTATGTACACCATATCGTTAATCCGCTGTAATTTCCTACTTCTAATTTTCCACGAATTATATGAGATAATTATAGAGATTTGTAATTATTTATTATTTATTTTGTATATACACATGTCATGTCCTGCAACACATAGCGACATCTTTTTGCTATTTATGACACAAATTAGAACATAAGGATTTGTGTGAAGGTCTGGCGAGTAGGCAGTTATGGGAACATGCGTAGACTGTAAATTGACGTC